TAGTATCCAGGACCACAAAAACTAGAGTGTACTAGAGTGTAGCACCACCCACAGTGAGCTGGACTTGCCCAAATCGATTATTAATCAAGATAGCATGTCACAGTCTTACTTACAAGCCAATCCTATGGGGTCTTTATCTTAATGAAGATTCCCTCTTTCCAGATACGTTTAGGTTTGTGTCAAGTTTACAGACATCAACCAGCACACTATTCTAGATAGGGCCTAAATGCTTCAGCATGACACCATGCTCTTTCTCCCTTGTCCACCAGACAGCCTCATTGCCTCCCTTTCTTTGTTTTGTTTTGAGATTGGGTTTCACTGTGTAGGCCTGACTGGTCTAGAACTTACATATAGACCAGGCTGGCTTCAAACTCACAGACATCTACATGCCTCTGCCTCCTAAGTATTGAGATTAAAGGTGTATGCCACCACACCTGGCTACAATGTAGATTTTGCAAGCACATTCTGTTATTCTTTCTAGTATTTTGGCTTAGTCATCTCTGGCTGCCTGCCCCCAGCTCTTGACCCCCACTTTCACCCCTTTAGTTTGGCCACATTATTATCACTTTGGATCCTCATATAGACCAAAGTAAAGAAGATGGACTAAAGATGCCCAAGCCTATGAAGATTTATAGCAATGAAAACAGGATCTAAAGACATTAATTAGGTCATTTACAAGGTACATGAACAGGTCAATGATTTCCAGCTAGTTCAAAGCAGTGATATAAGGAACAAATCTAAAATTTCTTGGAATATTATTTAATCTTGTGTGAACATTGGAAGAATGAAACAAAGCAAGATAAAACCACTCAATGCTATAAAGGCATGGTTACCCAAGAATCAAGGCATATGGAAAGTACTGGGTAGGTACTACAAATCTACTGAATCTCATGTTGTCACAGCATATGAAATAATTTCAGTTGTCTAATCAGATTTGCCTGCATTTTAGGTTTAGGAACAACCTAACAAATTCACTATTCAAACAGTAATTTGGCAAGTGTAGATTTAAGTCAGGAAACTACAGGTTTTAATGTAAACAGGAGAAAGGTAAACCTTGAGTTCACAGTGCTAAGGACATAGGATGGAACAAATTCCCAATATTCAGTTGCCTTCTGCCAAATAAAGAAAAACCCCAATTGTCTGTGGTAACAAGTGATAGACATGATGCAGAAATGAAACATGAATGATAGGGTAAGCTAACTAATGCTACCAATGGCCCAAACTTTTGAGAGACACTATCAAAAAATCCAGAAACATATTTACTTTTATTCTTATCTTTATGGAAAACAAAAATAAAAATCAGAGGATGCCAATGAGAGAGACACCCAGAGTCTAGGATTTAGAAAAGTAGATTTTTAAAATTCTAAGTTTATGACAAAGCCATGCTTGCTACTAATCAAGCCAGAGGGAAGTATGTTTGAAAAGTTAACAGAAATAAAAAAAACAATAAAATCTCAATTAAATATTTTCCTCTATGAAATTAGGCTTATAAAATATGTTTTTTATTTAAATTAGAAACAAGCTTGCTTTACATGTCAATCCCATTTCCCTCTCCCTCCCCTCATCCCCTGACCCCCACTAATTCCATCCCCTTTCTGTTCCCCAGGGAGGGTGAGGCCTTACATGAGGGATCTTCAAAGTCTGTCACATCATTTGGAGCAGGGCCTAGGCCCTCCCCCATGTGTCTAGGCTGAGAGAGTATCCCTCTATGTGGATTGGGCTCCCAAAGTCCACTCTTTTGCTAGGGATAAATACTGATCTCTACATGCATGTGTTAAAACCAAAATAGATATATCTCTAGTTCAATTAATTTACTCATTAATTTATTCAACAAATATTTATTGAATGCTATGTATAAGGAATGGGAGAAAAGGCACTCTAATAGCACACATAAGATATTACCAAGACATATCTAAAATGGCTGCATTGTGTTTTCCCAGGGCATTGGACCAGGAAAGATATGAATAAGAATAACTAATCACATTTGTAGAATAAGGACACCAAATATCCACAGATATTTGATATTTAGGTATACTAAATAAACACTAAATTTACATGGATATTTACCTATACTAAAAGTCTACATGCAAAGCATTGAGTACAATCCTAATTTGAAATCTCCTTCCATATTTTCTCTACAAGTAGGCTTTTATTTGTCATTTTTGCAGCCTACTTCTGATTTGGGAACTATCCAGGCACACACAGAGAAAGAGCATCTAGTGATTTCCCAGGCTTTTTCAGGGAGGGAAATGACAAATTAAAGGCTTTTAAAGAAACACCCAATTCAAAGGTCATAGAAGCAAAATGGTCCTGAATCTCTTCCATAAAAACTCCAAGAAGACAGCAGAGGATAGGACAGAGAAAATGAGGCAGGCTGTTCCCAAGAGGGAACTCTGGATAGGCAATTCTTTGGGATTTCAGTGGGAGGTGAAAATAGAACTAAGTAGAAGAAGAAAAGAAAAGGCTGATTCTGACCTTTTCAAGATAACCTCCAGAAAGACTCACATAATGGCAAAGGCCTCATTTTGGAGCACTAAGTAGCCCTTCTATATAATCTTTCTTTCAGAGAATGAACCATCCCATTTTCAGTGACAATCGTGGATATATTTCAGGTTAAAGTAGTTGAACTAGTTTATTCAAGGACATTTGTTCTTTGCAAACTCTCTCAAGGTAAGGCATATTCTGGGGAATAAACCCTATTTCTATGTAGATGACATTTACATAGAATGACTCTTTATTCTCTGAACCAAGGTAGAGTTGGCTATTTTGAGTGTGAAAAAATAAACCTGGTATGAATTTACATCTACCACTGGCTGGCTGGGAAATCTGTGGCAAGCTACTTGAACCTCTCTCAGCCTGTGTTTTCTCATCTAAAGAAAGCAGATGTGTATGTCTTTGAACAGCTTTTAGAAAGATGAAATGATCTAAAATACATTAAAGTGCTTTCAAAATGAGGAGCTGGTAGTGTTTCTCAGTGGTAGAGTTGGTTCTTAGCATGTGTAAGGTCATGGGTTCAGTTCCCAGTACCAGAAGCAGTGCTCTGAAAATGATAAAATGATACATAAATGAGTGTAATCACTATTCTTTCCCCACTCATTGACCTAGTTACCATGGCATAGAGGGAGCATGTGGAACCCACCAGCAAGACACGGATCTTGATTAATGAGCTAAAAGATGTTTTGTTGAACAATGGTAATAATAATATACTAGAAAATGCACTTACTCTTCAGCAACATCAAATTGTATTTATATGGAAACATCAATCTTTTCTTCCCTTTTGACTTTGATACAATTTAATATGAATGACTACTAGTCATTATTACTAATTATTATTAATGTCTGTTACCAATAAAATAGAAGAAGAGGTACCTTGTTTTGTAATCCTACTTTTACACATACGGCTAACAAAATGAAATTACCATTAATCTTCTCTCCACAAATTTACATCTTTACAGGTGATTTTGTGATCTCCTTACTATATTCTTATGTTTATATTCTATAAGCATAAAGCATATATATATATATATATATATATATATATATATATATCA